TATATATATATATATATATATATATATATATATATATACTTTTTCCAGGATAAATAGACTTTCAAATTCTGCCCCCGCCCAATTTTTTTTATTGCCGTCCATTTTTAAAGCTGTCACTTCTTCAGGAATGAGTTAGGAAGACAGTCTTTATTTACAAATAAGTACATTTCTTTTAAACCTCAACAACATGGTTTAACATAGTAAATTAGAAAATTCACTCCGTAATTTTAAAAAGCCCATGATAAATAAGCTTCAGTATATATGTGAGACTTTTAACAAAAATCTAACATCGAGAACCACTATTACTTAGAAACAGTTATCATTTAGATTTTAAAGAGAAAAACGTCTAAATAGTATATGCATTTTCTAAAGTAATAATTCAAAAAGTTTTCCTGTAGTGTTCAAAAGTCCAAATATTACATTCTAAATATTACATTACAATTAGAAAAACCATATGAATCAGAACTTACTTGTTCCTCCGAGGGATCTAAATCCTTCTCGAATATTTTGTGTAAACATAGGAATAATGGGCTAAAGAGAGAATTTGAATTAAAAAGTAAATACATTAATCCATTTGATGCCTCTAATGCAAACTTTTGAGGGCCTGTTTAAGTTACAAAACCAAGGCATTTTTAAAATAAAGGTATACTGTTATCACCAGTGTGATTTATCAGACTAAAATTAACATGATCGTTTGTAGAAAAATATAAATTGGAAACACTACCTTCTAGTGGTGATACATAATATTTTATTTACCAACTTTCCTATCATTCCACATGAACTCTTGAAACTCAAAATTAAGATCAAAGTGATCATTAATTTCATTAAGTAAAATGAATGTGATAATTAAATTGGTTTCAGTGGGCTACTGAAGAAAATGTTTCAAAACAGAAATTCTCTCTATGGAGAAACTTACATATGTTCAAATGACAAGTTTTAGCAAGATGCTGTCATGGAATTAGTGAAACACCATTTTTTCGTGAGCTTATTAAATCTAATAATGTTCAACATCAATGAAAAGTAAGTATAATACTCAACACCAAAAAAAAGGAAAAAAAAGGAAAAACATATACATAAAAGAACACTTGCTACCATTATTTTGGAGGATATCTGCTCAAAAGTTCATGGTTTTTATTTTTCCATGAATATTATTGGTTAAATATGATTTTTTTAAAATGGAGACTTAGCTATATGTCATGAAACAATGGATAAAGTAGCAAAGGATCAGGTAAGGAAGTTACGCCACGGCGAAACTGAAGAAGGTAAACAATTGAATAAAACGCTTTAAAATATACACCAAATACGCTGAATTAAACGATGTTTTAGAATAGATAAAACGGCGGGGGGGCGAGGATCATTTTACTTACAGTCTACTATCAGCATTTGTTAATACAGAATTACTTGCTTGAGTGAGCAGGGTTTGAAACATTTAAATAAGCTGACATTTAAAAAGCCATTCCTTTTCAGCTTTGGAAAGCAGTCAAATCTGGTGGACTAAAGGAAAGAGACTACAGGCACAGCTTTCTTCATAAAACATACTCCCTTTCAATCACCTAACTGATCATTTATTTATTATCTCTCTCCCCTCACTAGAAGCAAGACCCCCCATAGCAGAGACTTGGTTTCGTTCACTGCTGGAAACACCTAGAACAGTGCCTGGAATAAAGCAGGTACTAAAAGACAGTGTGACAGGTGAACTAAAGAAGGAATGAATCAACAGGACAGAGAGAAAATGCTAAGGAATACAAGCTAAGGAATACAAGCTAAGGAATTAGCTTGTATTCTCTGAATACAAAGGGTAGGAAACAGGCAGCAGCAATTTTAAAACCAGAAAAGCCGGGTAAAGAAGGAGTCGGATGAATAATTTAAAATCTGATGGAGTTAATTCACAAAGCTAACACCTAAGACAAAGTAGACTGACTCTTTTGTAAAAAAAATTCAGATTATGATTTTCCTAAAACCACCCCTAGTTTTGTAGAATAAAGTGATGGTTGGAATCCTAATGTTTCAAATAATTCTACAATGTCTCTAGAGTTGAGAACTTAAGATGCCCAGGAAGGAGCAGAAAGCTTTCAGCTCATATATACACCACTTTGCCTTCTCTGATCAGTGCTGCTAGGTTTTCGTCTATTGACTCGCACGAACCCCGAAGTTAGTACTGAAGGATGCACTTTATAAAGACTCTTCAGGTATATATATATATATCATCCTTTAAATGGCTAACTCTCCAGAAGCTGGGCATTTCTAGAAGATACTAAACAGGAGAAGGCTTACCCTACAAACTCAGTATTCCAGGCTATACCCTGGTTTCTAAACTTACATTCAAGCTTGCAGCCTTACAGCTGCAAGCATTACCTTATTACAACTTCATACTGTAGTTCGTTCCTTTGTTTGTGCACACTTTGTATAACAAGGTAGTTGCATAAGTAACCCAGAATCAAATTGCTTACATGTATACATGTATCTCTGTACGTGTATGTACACGTGTGTGAAGAGGTAGAGAATGTGTATTTTGTTAAAACTATTCTTGGGGAATAGAGCGTGGCCTTGGAGTCTTAACTTTGCCACAAAAATTTAAGTGGGAACCATTGGACAGGTCACTAAACCTGTTTCTTCATGTATGAAATCACAATAATAATAATTATCCCATCTCAAGGTTTTTATAGATTGAGATAATACATATAAACAATTTTATTGAAACGAATGCTATTTTCTTTTACATCTGTTATTTGTTTTCCAATTAGAGTAAATGGGCTCATTTTTTTCCCAAATTATTTAGCTACGAAATTACCTAAAAATTCTTAGCAAAGTCAGAATTCTCAGGAATTCACAAAATAAGAGTGATTTAGATTATATCAAAAAGCCTGTAACTTGCAGACGAGCCTTAAATATTTTCTGCCAATATTTTGTGAATTTCCATTCCTTTGTTTCAATTTAAATGTGGTTAGTCTTGTAACAACAGTCGTAACTTTTTATTCAAAGCTTATGATAATTCTGTGAGACCTAAGAAGGGCTTTTTCAAATAAGCTGCTGGTGCCATTTACAACTGTATCCACATGTGACTGAAAGGCTTCCCTCGCGGATCTGCAAGGCCCTCTAATCTTGGGGTTGGCGGACTCACTGTGAAGTGTACCAGCTGCCTGCGGTCCTGAACTGTAAGCTCTGCTTCTGACTTGCTGTGTGACAGGGTCCCTCCATCCCTTCATCTCTGTGTGCCTGAGTTTCCTCATCTGTAATATTGGAATAATTACATATGTCACCTACTTACTGTACAGGGGTACCAACATAAAGCCTTTAAAAGTGCTAAGAAAGGTTAGGGTGGTACAAGATTTATCAGTGATGCAGTGCTATTTTGTAAATCAGCAACGTTAAAGATTTTTGTTTGTTTATTAACTTGTAAAAGGCTGTTTATTAAATTTTCTCAAGTTTTGTATAAAAAACCTTAAATTATCTAGGTTATTGGGTTTTTTTTTTTTTTTTTTGGCTGTGTTGGGTCTTCGTTGCTGCACACGGGCTTTCTCTAGTTGCAGTGAGCGGGGGCTACTCTTCGTTGCGGTGCACGGGCTTCTCATTGCGGGGCTTCTCTTGTGGAGCACGGGCTCTAGGCACATGGGCTTCAGTAGCTGTGGCACGTGGGCCCAGCAGTTATGGCTCACGGGCTCTAGAGCGCAGGCTCAGTACTTGTGGCGCACGGGCTTAGTTGTTCAGCGGCATGTGGGAATCTTCCCAGACCAGGGCTAGAACCCGTGTCCCCTGCATTGGCAGGTGGATTCTTAACTACTGCACTACCAGGGAAGCCCTATCTAGGTTATCTTAATTAATTATCTAGAAACTCAGGGATTGATAAAAGGGCTTCTTTCTCTATATAATTTTTTCTTTCAAGACTTCTTCCAGGCAATGGTCCTTAAAACTGTAACTTAAGGATGAGGAGTTAGAATTCCATGATCAATCTGTGTGATTCCAAATTTATTTCTGTCACTTTTACCTTAAACCTTGGAAGAAATAATTCTCTCAAAATACAGACCTGAAGATTGAACTATCTTTCAGTTTTTAGCTGTTATCATTGCTTTAATGTACATTTACGCTGATTATCCTTAATTTCTGAACAACTGTGCATATACCATCTTATATTCTACATTATTCATAAAGTCTAAGGTTTTGTTTTCTACCTTAGTACATAAGACTTTTTGGAAAATAAAATGGGCTATAAATTAATTTTCTGTATCATTAATACGATTAACATAGATTTAAATTCAAAAGACTCCTTTCTTGTAGTGTTTAAAAAATCAATTCAACAAATGCAGAGAGCCTACTAAGTGCTAGTCATTGTACTAGGAATTCAGAATATAAAAAGTGGCTTTGGGCTTCCCTGGTGGCGCGGTGGTTGAGAGTCCGCCTGCCGATGCAGGGGACGCGGGTTCGTGCCCCGGTCCGGGAGGATCCCACATGCCGCGGAGCGGGTGGGCCCGTGAGCCATGGCCGCTGAGCCTGCGCGTCCGGAGCCTGTGCTCCGCAACGGGAGAGGCCACAGCAGTGAGAGACCCGCGTACCGCAAAAAAATAAATAAATAAAATTTAAAAATAAAGGGAAAATGTCCATTCTTCTTCAAATGTTGCTTTTGGGTTAGAAGGAGTCATCCATAATCCTTTCCTTTTTAATCAAAAGTCTGTATCTGCAAGATGAACAGGCAAGCTAAGGGTGCAGACTGGTGTCTTTATGACAGCAGTGGAAACACACACACAAAAAACAGAAATGTGAAAGCATTAGCAGCAGTCTTTAACTAATTGGCCTGGAAAAAGAAAACCACCTTGTCAAGTGCTATGATTTCTTTTTCTGATAGACAATCTATAATGAAAACAAACAGAAAACAAAGAAGAAACATTCCATAAGGAATAAATGTTTCATAGGATAAAGTACAATACAGAGACCAAAAAGCTTAGATATACTTTCCAAAGCAAAAGAAAACAAGATGACATTCAGATTTTCCAGTTTACTAAGTAGAATAATTACAGTGAATCCCAGAGGAACACTTAATTTTATTGACAGATTCATTCTTTTAAAAAGCTCTAAATTACACCAATATCTCTTTCTCATCTTTATTCATACTATTAGAGAGCTGATCACATTTGCTGATGAAAAATGGTAGAAACCATATATTATTTGAGCTCTATTCTTATATAAATTGGTCACAGATACAAGAATTATAATGGAACCAACCAATAGCCATCACTGAAACATGCCAACTCAGTTGAACCAAAGGATTAAAATACACAGAGTTGGATTGATTATACTTATGAAAAAAAGTATAACTGAAGGAATACCAAAAATTTCATATATCTGATTAAAAGAAGCTGGATTCTGAAGCATAAGGTAAAGCTTTGCTAGATATTTGCAAATTTCCAGATTGAAATTTTTTATAAAGATGGCTTCCCATGCACAAGGAATATTTCTCTATTATTATCTGAGAGTTACAGACACTAAGTTTTAAAGTAGTGCAATGACAGTATCTAAATTCTGATATACTCTTAAGCTATTTAAGCATTTATTTTAAAGTAGACATAGCTTTCCTTTAATAATCAGTTTTATACAACTCACCACTTTTGCATCAATTGCAACCTGAGCGAAGCCTTTACGATTACCCCACACGATGTTGTAGGTCTCATCGCTAATCAGGGCTTCTCGAACACCACCTGGTGAGATAGCTAACAAGTGACCACTCCGCAGAATTTCAACACATTTTTCTCTTGGTCCATGTATAGCACAAAATACATCAAGTAATAAACTAAACCCTGTAAGAAACATTAGCATGAAGATACAGCTTAAGTACTTCTTGTCCAATTCTTCAAGAGCAAAAATCTTCACAACCTACATAATGTACTATCTGTACTTAAATCAGTAAATTCTTTTTTTTACTTTTTTTTAAACCAACAACAACTCTTAAGGTTAACATAAGATTAATATTGCTGGTAAATTAATAGCTATGTCTTGTTGATTACTTCCTCAGCGATCACCTACTACTCTGGCTACATATTCAAATTCTTAATTAAAACTCATGGGACTTCCCTGGTGGTTAAGACTCCATGCTTCCACTGCAGTGGGCACAGGTTCGATCCCTTGTCGGGAAACTAAGATCCCACATGCCGTGCTGTGTGGCGGCCAAAAAAAAAAAAAAAAACACCTGGGAAAATAGGGATTCTTAATCCCATTTTATAGATGAGGAAAGTTGACTCAGAGAGTTAAGAAGCTTGCTCCAAGTCACACACCTAGCAAAGGGCAGGGCAGAGATTCCGGTCCAGGTATGTCTAGTCCAAAGCTCCTTCCACTGCATCTCATGGCCAAACACTGTCTACAGTATTTATTAGAGCAATCAGAAAGGGCATCCCATCAGCAATCGCACATCTAACCTTCCATTAACCCTATAAGAAAGAGAATCACTCAAGAGAATGTGAGTCTGACGGGTCTAGCTCTACCAAAATCGGCAAGCCACAGTTAAATCTACTGAAATTAAAAGTTACATACTGCTAATTCCACAATAAAAATTTTTTAAATCAACAATAATAGCAATATCATTAAGAGCTTTTGATAAAGTGAGTGGTTGGCTCAGGAACAATTAATTCCAGTCTTAATATTATACAGTTTTTCAAATTATAACTACTTACAGATGAAAGAAAAAATCCTATCAGTAATTAAATATTTTAACCAAATCCTAAACTGGAAATTTAGATGACTGATGTTTGTATACATTATCCCTTGAGACTGGGAAATATGGGGATGGATAGTGAAAACTGTGCAGAATAACCAAACTTCTCATAGGTTTAAGGATCTGAAGCAAGATTATCAATATTATTGAGAAGAAATAATTCTCATCCTATACTATGTTAAAAGTTCACTGATTTCACTCGATGTATTCTCATGATAAATGAATAAACAGGGGAGGTTTAATAAATTACAAGATCATGAAGATCATAAAGGGGGAACTTTTTAAGTCAAATGGTAAATAAAAATGTTCACGTTTATTATTTATAAAAAGAAAAAAATGTAAGCAACCTAATGTTCCATAAGAGAAAACTAGTTAAGTAAATATTTTAGTCATATATTTAAAATGTTATTTATAAAACACGGGAAAATGTTAATGCTACATTAAGTTTTTTTAAAAAAGAACAAAGCAGTTTGCATAACGTGAAGATCTGCAAATTAAAAATGAAGCAAAATAGGGCTTCCCTGGTGGCGCAGTGGTTGAGAGTCCGCCTGGCAATGCAGGGAACACGGGTTCGAGCCCGGGTCTGGGAGGATCCCACATACCGCGGAGCAACTAGGCCTGTGAGCCACAACTACTGAGCCTGCGCGTCTGGAGCCTGTGCTCCGCAACAAGAGAGGCGGCGATGGTGAGAGGCCCGCGCACCGCGATGAAGAGTGGCCCCGGCTTGCCGCAACTAGAGAAAGCCCTCGCACAGAAACGAAGATGCAACACAGCCAAAAATAAATAAATTAATTATTTTTTTTTAAAATGAAGCAAAATAAATCAAAATGATAACTGGATATATGTTAGGGGGTAGGACCATATAATGATGTTTTTCTTTCCTCTAGTTTCCAAGCTTATTATAAAGTGATCATATTACTGTCTAAAGAAATACCAAATACCTTTTATAGCCACTTTAGTTTATACACAAAGTACAAATGGCTTTTTAGTGACACAAGGATGCTGGAAACATTAACCATGTCTATGAAAGGCACTAAGAGAACTGTTATTTCATTCACTGTCTGGTGTTTATCTGGTTGATGGCTGGCTTTTGCTTTTACAATTCCAGAGAACATACTATAAACTTTCTTGGCTTGTTTCTGGTGACTTCCTGACAGAAGAAAATAAGATTTAATCTTAATGAGTTTACTTTAGAATGATTTTTTTTAAAACTCTTATCATGTTTGAAACCATTCAGTTTACTAACCTTTTGAAAAAGGTACGAAGCCTTTATGTATATGAATATTTTAAAAAATGTAGTCCTCAGTCTTAAGAGTTATAATTCTACCAAGCAAGTCAAGTATATGATAAAAGACATAATAGGCTCTTTAGGTTAGGATTTCTGAGGCAATATTATATGATTATATAAAGACAAAATATATCCTGGCTAATTTTTTTTGACTTTGATTTGCTATCAAACTGACAGTAATCAAACACTAATTACTATAAAATTAAACTCCCAGATCAATAACTCATAGAAAAATTCACCATATGAAAAATCAACTACCTTCTATACCAAAATACAAATTAATTGTTTGGCAAAAGTTACAATTTCTTTTAGGATTTAACTTCAAAAAATAATGACTACCTGTTAATAGAGAAAGAAATTAGATAACATTTTTGGCCATAATATTTTTATATTTAGGTATATTACCTAAAACAGACACTAAACTCAAAGACATACAGACTGTCACATAATCGGATCACGTTAATTAAACATTTTTATATCACCAGCTACAGTGAAAGTTTACCTGGAATTTTAAAAACAAAGTGATCGGCTACTACTCGGCACGTTCTGCCTTTATGGATAAAAATTTTAGCCATGAAGTAATAAAAATCGATGGGAATAGCTCCATGATAGAAAATGATCAGTGCTGGCCCTTCTTCTGGTATTTTTTCCATCCCATGAACTTCATAACCTGTTAGAAAGACAAAATACAGATACTTAAAATGTATTTAATATTAGTTTATTTATACTAAAGGATGGTTACTAACTCAGACACTCGGTCTTTCTTTCGGGAGCACAAGCCCCCCTGTTTCCATCCACTTCCCCTTCCATCCCTCCCTGAATATATCGGTCCTACAGCGGTTGGGTGGGCCGGCGTGCAGTAGGTGCCTGGGTGGAGGGTGGCCTGCGGTGGGTGCTGGAGCCCAGGCAGGGCGAGGAGGGCATCCGTAGAGGGTGGCCCGGGATGGCGAGTCAAAGCCCAAACGGTCACGAGAGCCCACACACAGGAGAAGAGCCTAGAAAGGGTGCTGGGGCCTGGGCGGGCAAAGGAGGGGGAGCCAACGTGGCATGAGGATGGGGGTCAGAGCCCGAGTGGAGCAGGGTGGTGTCCCTGAGTGGCAGGGGACGGTGGCAGTGATGGGAGACTGATTACACCCAGGGGGACTGATCAAATCAGTTTACATATTAAGGATAATGTCAGCCTGGTTTCTCACTGTTGGAGGAGGTTAACAGTCGCAAATACAGAAAAGGAGAAAACTCAAGTCAACTCTGCAGCCGTAAGAGAACCTCACTCCCACCCTAAGAAGGAAAAGAAGCATGTCAGAAAGCTGAGGTCGCTGTCTCAGCCGCGTGGGAGGGAGGGCGGGCAGGTGCCACAAAAGTGGGAGAGAAGAAAACAACCAAAATGTTAACAAACACTTAAAGACCGAATGTGCGCGAGCGCTAGGTGTTGGATCCCCGGGAACCGAGAGACAAACAGGAGTCTGCACCCACTCCCCAGCCTCACGCAGGCCTCAGCGGCGTATGCACGAGATAAACCAGGGGCAGGGCAGGCCAGAGACTCACGAGAGACCCTGCTGAAGATTCAGAGAACAAAATCCCCCTCGCTTCCCGGAAGCTTCTCGTGTAAAAGCAAAACCTGGCCCAGGGAGAAGCGCAGGAAAGCCTTCCACAGCTTCTAAGAACCGGTACTTGCCAAAGGTATCTGACGTGGGCAGGGACAGAGTTCCACTCCCCCGCTCCTCTACTACTGAAGGAATAAACTACTTGGTAATATTTCAAGTGGGCTCAAGAGACTGTTTTTGAAAACTAGATTTAATGATATTGCAAGATTCTGTATGTGTCTATACTTTTAACATTTCTTCCCAATTACCGAATTCTAATTCAAATCATTCAATTTACTCAGAACAGTCACTGAAGTTGTCTGACGTTATCCAAAGGATCGATTGTCCCATCAGATAAATTTTCCAAGAAATAAAGAATACTTCTTTCAGGGACTCTATACAGCATATTCCTGAGGTTCTCTCTTGTTTTCCAGAATACTTTTTTTTAAAAAAAAAAGAATTGAGAAATAATTGTTACTTAATACCAGGTCACCTGACTGAAAGTAGAAAAATTCAATGAATCAATTCATTATTGACAAAAACTAGAGTTTACCATCTTGCCACTAAACATTAAGCCCCAATATTCAACTGTGTCACTCGTAAAGCGTGGATGTGGTCATACCGCCCCTCGCTATAAAAGCACCAGCAGATAATCACTCTGGTCAATGTCAAGGCCTTTTAGGTCCCAATTACCGATCAAGTGATGTCAGATTCTTTCGGTGTCACGTGGACTCAGGGCGCCTCCCTCCTCTGTGCTGCTCACGTGACCGTCTCTAAAGGAGCACTTCCTGTCCCATGTTTCCCTGTCGAGCAAAAGCAGAAATCCTGGGGCACGTTACCTGCTCCTCGCTCAGACTCTGTATTCCCCTGGTCACCAGCTTCTGTGCGTTTTACCTCCAAAAACTCTTAAATCTATCACTCCCTCTTCCCACTCTTGGTTTTGAAGTGTGGCCCCGTCCTCTCCTGCCTACAAAACCCCAGTCCTGGGGAGCTGATGGGCAACAGCAGCTCAGAGAACGCAATCGGGAACGCAGCTATCGCCGCCGTCCGTCCATCCGCTGTCCTGGGACGGGGAGCCTCCGTATGCACGTCTTATGCACATTTCGAGTGGTCTGGGCCTCGTCAATGAAAACAGCCCTACTCTTGTGACGATTGCAGTTCTCTTATTTGATGCCAAGAGATGCGCATTTATTTACCTCCTCTGCTCCGTCCCCTGAGCCTAAGCACTCTCCAGATTCTTTGGCGAGGATCTGAAGGTCACGGGGAGCTCAGGTAGCTTCATCTATCTCCATAGCAATTATTTATTATGTAAATGAGTTACTGCCTACTGGCTTTAGACATCAGCAACAAGAATCCAGATAAGGATAATCTTCTCCTAAGAGATAGATCCTTTCTAAATTTGTCACCAAAAATCCATTTTTAAGGCTATACACCTACACACTATGGTAAAATAACAATACCATCCTTTTGAGTCTTCCTCTGGAAAGCACACAGAGGCAAACTACCTACAAAATAAAGTCAAACTCCTGAGCATAGCATTCAAGAGCCTTTAAAGCCTAATTTGTCTACTTTTCCAGGTTCATCCTTCCGCATACATCTCACCCATGAATGATTCACCTTCTGGTCCTGAATACACCCTGCATTTTATTCAGTACTGAGGTGTATGCATGTTTTAACATAGGTAGTTTCCTATTAGGACTATAGTAATGAATCTCAGTTTTTCCATTCAACAACATATCTTGGACATCTATTTGATACACACATGTAGTGATTTTTTTAATGATTTTTTAAATGGCTGTAAAGTATTCCATAATGAATTCCTATCACAGTTCATTCAGCCATTTTCCTATTTAGGGACAACTGGATTGTTTCCAATTTTTCAAATATTGGTTGCAATGAACCTTCATTTATATGCATTCTTGTGCACTGAATGTGTGAATTTATCACTAGACTGGATGCTGAGACAGGCAACTGTTGATCATGTGGTACGCCCATTTTAAATTATAACAGAAACTACCAAATCACCCTCCTGACTGGCTACACTACAGTACTTTCTCACATGCACTGAGTGAGAGTTCCCATCTCCACATTCTCATCTTTTAATGTCAACAAACTTTAATTATTTGCCAATCCTCTGAGTAAAAATGCTATCTCAGTGCAGTTTTAATGTGCACTTTCCTAATTACTAGTGGGCTTATGAATCTGTTATAATTATTGGCATTTATATTTAGACCATTTTTAGACCACATGCTTAGACCACTTTTAAGTTGGATTTCTTTTCTTACTAATTTATTATTTTCTAAGCTACGTTGTAAATGACTTGTGGTGATCTGTCCCATCTTTTTTTTTTTTTTTGCGGTCCTCGGGCCTCTCACTGTTGTGGCCTCTCCCGCTGCGGAGCACAGGCTCCGGACGCGCAGGCTCAGCGGCCATGGCTTACGTGCCCAGCCGCTCCGCCGCATGTGGCATCCTCCCGGACCGGGGCAGGAGCCCGCGTCCCCTGCATCAGCAGGGGGACTCTCAACCACTGCACCACCAGGGGAGCCCGATCTGCCCCATCTTTTGATGTGTCTTTTAGTTCTGTCTTTTTTGAACAGTTTTTGTTTTTTTGCATCTTCTTTAAGACCTTCCGTAGTTGGAGATCATCAAATATTTTCCTATATCTTTCCCTGCTGATCTGGAATACCACTTTTATCATTTACTAAATTCACATTTCTGACTTTTTAATCTGTTTGATCTGTTTGTGATGATCCTTCCCCTGTACCAACGCCGTAATTTTAATCATTATAAATGTTAATGGTTTTGATATGACAGGGGGAAACTTCCTCTTTTGTTTTTTCAAATTTGTCTTGGTTATTCTTGTTTGCCCTTTTATATGAATTTTAGACATTGATGAAAAAGTGTTAGAAGTCTACTGAATTGGTAAAGGAACTGGGAGTGTGGGCTGTAGGGCAACATCTCTACTACGCTGAGACTCTCTATCCACTTCACCTTTTCTGAACTCCATTTGTATACAGTTTCTCCATAAAGTTTTTATGTGTTTTGTTAGATCTAGTCTCAAGTAGCATTTTTCCTTTCCATTTTAAAAATGATTATTGGTAGTATATGAGTAGTTACTAATTTTGTGTTTATCATATGCCCATTTCCCTTGCTAACTAATCTTATTAGTACTGATAGGTGGATTCACTCGGCTGTCTCAGGCATCTCTTCTTTTCTCGTCTCTGTACTTATTTCTAGGAGCTCCAGGACAAGGTTAAACAGCAGTGGTGAGAGCCTCCTTGTTCTGGTCCCTCTACTCATGGGACTCGCTTTAATACTTCTGCACTTCTCCAATGTGGATCATCTTTGTTGAAGATTTCTGGTACATTCCCTTTACTGTAGTAGAGTACATTTTAGTCTTCGCTTCCTAAGATTTTTTTTTTATTATAACTATTGAATTTTATAAAACTACATTCTATGAGACTGACCTGCAAGTCTCCTTTTTGTGTTCTCCTTAGTTTCAATAGCAAAGTTCTGCTAGCTTTGCAAAATAAACTGTGCAGCTCCACATTTTTTCCTACACTCTCAAACACAGATGGGCATTATCTGCTCCTTAAAAGTTTAGTATAACTTGTGGGCTCTCGGCCCTTTGTGAAAGGAGGAGGATACAGACTTTGACCACTGTTCCAATTTATTGCATGATTACTGGTCTGTTCTGTTTCTCTCTCCTTCTTGAACCAATTTTGATCATTTCTCTTTTCCTGCAAAAGTGTCTATTTAATTTTTAAACAAAATGGTGTGAAATACTCAATTTCTTTCCCACTCATTCTTCAAAGCCTTGTTCAAAAGTTACTTTCTCCATGAATAGTGCTTTCACTTTTGTCCCATAGAAACAAGAATGAACATTTATTGAGCATTCACCTGACAGGCACTGTATTGGATCCATAATAACTATCTCATTTGGTCCTCACAGAATCCCTGCACTGATGAGAAAACCCAAGTAAGAAAAGCCCATGTAACATACTCGAGGTCACACAGTGGTACGGCCAGGACGCAAGCCCACATGCGTCTGACTCCACGACCTGTGCCCTTCCCCACACCACACCTCCTACTAGAGGTGTGCCCGTGCTAACCTGCACCTGTGATTTTCAAATGCTGGTTGCCATCACTCATTGAGTTATGCAATCACTTTAGTCAGTTATAGTCAGCATTTTTCTTTTTAAATAAGAGAGAGTAGAATAGAAAATAGAGCAGATCGCAAGAAGAGAGTATATACACTTTTGATGAAATAGTATATACCTGTATGTATATACTGGGTGGCAAAATGCATTTCTTGCTAGCAATAAGAATCAAAACTTTGATAGCCTAAAAATATACCTTGAAAATACTAGGAACCTTGAACAAAGTAGGTGTGTGAAGTTGAACTTAATAGTGACCAAGAAACAAGTGATGGATTTTAGTGCTTTCCAAATTATTGAAGAAAGATGCTCTGTAATGATGATAGCTAACATTTGTTGAACTTTTATTATGTAATAAAAATTATTCTAAGTACTTTACATCAAGGCCCAGTGAATCCTTACAACAACCCATTTTACAGAAGAGGGAAATGAAGTCCAGAAAAGTTAAGTATCTTGTTTGAAGAGAAGGGTTATTTACATAGTCTTAAAGGAGTTCTCCCAAGACATCTATCAATTACAAAGTGAAAAATAGCAACTTTGTGGTGGAGAAACCTAACAGACACCTCCTTAACCACGTGATCAAAGTCACCATCACCAGTAATAAAACATGTCAACATCATGAACCTCGGATACAATGTGCTGAGAAGGACCCACCATCAGAGGGATTCTTATCAAAAATGCACAACTTCAATCAATTTATGGAAAATATCAGATCTAAATTAAGAGACAGTCTACAAAATCACTGAGCAGTACTCTTCAGAAGTCTGAAGGTCATAAAAGACTAAAAAACCCTCAGAGATTGGAGGAGATGTGACAACTAAATGCAGGATGGGATCCTGGTAAAAGGACACTGGCAGGGAAGCTGGTAAGATGTGAATAAGATCTGTAGTTTGGTTAACAGTATTATACCACTGTTAATCTGATAACTATACAAACGGTTACGTAAGATGTTAACATTAGGGGAAGCTGAGTGAAAAATAGGAACTCTGCACTATTTTTGTAACTTTTCTGTAATTCTCAATTTTTTGTAAATGAAGTTTAAAAAAATCCTAATTGTTGCAAAAGGAAGGGAGGAGGAGGAAGAGGGAGAAGGGAGGGGAGAAGAAATCAGGCAACCTGTCCAAGGTCCCCCCGCGGTGACTGGCAGAGCCTGGTTCGAACCCAGGAGTTGGACCCCGGAGTCCTTCCCTTGGGGGAAGGACAGAGGAGGGGAAAGGAAACTCTTACCCAGCTGAAGGGCAGCGGGAATGCTCTCCTGAAATCCCAATTTAATTTTCCCATAAAAAACTCTACTACATATGGTTTAATTTATAGGACGCTTTTACTGAATAAAATGTCCATTTCTTTAAAAAATAATAGTAAAATGTGAAGTAAAAAAGTCAAAATTTTTATAGTTTAAAGGCTGTAAGCAACTTGAGGGTAGGGGCTTCACTGACAGACTACCTAGAAATGCAGGTATTTAAGAAATACCAAATTCATGTTTCTTGATGTAGGAGAATCAGATTTTGAAAAATGATAAAGCACTTACATAATATACACTAGAGGGTAAAATCTAACTTCAAAACAGGAAACACTGGATAGATTCTTATACAAAGATACTTATAGTAAACCAGTTATAAACAAACAACAGCTCAATAGGTAAGTAAATCAGTTACAGGATTTACAGAGTCCATATAGTCATTATAAGTCATGTAAGGAGGCTTAGTGACATGAAAGTACTAGTCTGCCACACAAATAAACAATAAACACACAGAATTCAACTGCATGGTAAATTTTAGGTGACTATTATTTTCTTCTTTATTTTTACTCACCACATTTTCTAAAATGAACATTTTTATTAGTTAAAAAATTCCTCTGAAGATTCTTTACAAAGCATAAATTAAAACTGATTTGACATCAATACAAAATCCAAATATGCACACAAATGCCTTTTGTGTATGTCACTAAAGAACAGAGTGAAGAAAATCATTTTAAAAAGCATCACTTATCTTAATAAAATATGTTAAATTATTATACATAAAACATGGTAAGAACTATATATTTTACTTCCTCTGGGCCATAGGTGCATATTTTTAAATACCTCAGAAAAATAAAAAATAAATACCTCAAAATTATATATGCTCCTACAAAATAAGTTTAACACTTGAATTTATCCACATTAAATCATGCCTCCTGAAACAGAAAAAAATTCAAATTCCTTACAATATATATTACCCTGAAGTATAGGGGGTTATAAGTGGGAGGGGGACATCGTTTCCCGAGTACTGTAAACGAGGCCACTGAATTTCTGTCTCACTGCTTTAAAGACAATGAACGAGAGCAGTCCACATAGACACGGTCTCTGGTCACAGAATGCTGAAACAGCATCCCACCTCCGGTGAACAACCACGAGCAGGTGTGAGAGTTGTACGGACTGGCAAGGGCATTCGTATTCATGGGTAAATACTAAGAATTCAACACATCGACGGCACGGCACGTGGTTCCTGTTTGCAAAGCTGCTGTCTGTCAACCACTACACTCTGACCCTGAGCCCAACCAGGGACAAGCCTGCGGCACAGCACAGATCAGAGGAGCACAGGCCTGGAACCAGGAATCAGAGGCTGCATCCTGGCCCTTCTCCCTGGCGTGCCTCGGGCACATAACAACCTCACTGTTCTTCAGTTTCCTTATGGGAAAACTGTAAAATGGAGATAACACGTGGACTCTCTCTACAGCATTATAAGAATTCTAAGAACTGATGCACGTTAAGCATTTGACTGTATGGCACAGTCAAGTGCTCAAAAAAGATGTGCAGGCATATGTAGGATTAAAATGACAACACGTCAGCTGAATAAGTCACACAGCAAACGGAAAACGGGTACATTTTGGTATATATATTATATCTAATTTAATATTATTACTATTTAATATTATTTTTCATTTTTTAAAAATCTCTACACTGGGAAAGTCAAACTTATTTTGAACAAAATGGAAGTAAATGCGAAATAAAGCAATTTCAAAACAGTTTTCTATACTGTTTTAATTCATCTCTTACTCTCTTAGATTCTTAACTATTAATTTTTTATTTGAGCTTAGAGTAATAGTCTACATTATTACGCGGTTCTTTGGTTAACGGAAACTAGTGTGCTCAGAAAGAATCATTTTACGAAAGACATATATATGCACAATGCATGCAAACAGGTAACAGGAAATAGTAACTATCCCTTCCATTATATTTTTCAATATTTCCTCAATCAACAAAATGGAAGGGTAACACGGTTTCAGCACCACCCACACGAACAGGAGCCCAGAACTCAAAGTAATCTCGCTTACCGTGCCAGACAGCTGCGTGTCCATCCCACAGCGTTGCCACCGTCTTCCTGGCACCGTCCCATAAATTATGAGAGTAAGCTTCTTTTAATACATTCTTCCTCTTATAAATGTGTAAGAAAATAATAGTAAGGTAGAGAAGAAAGATAGTAAAGTAAGGAAGTATTAAAAGTATGAGTGGTGTAAAAACCCACAAGAGATAGTTTGCAAAATTCCAGTAGTCCTCCAGTTGCTCCACACCAAACCATTCTTCAAGTACGTGGATCAGACAAGTCATGGAGGGCATGGAAGCCTGTCCCGTCCCACAGGTTTGGTTTCTGTCTATCATTTTTCTTTAGGTGAAAATGACAAATTTAGTCTCTTTCTTCGACGTCATGGCAGGTCTTTAATTTAGTCACTAAAAGGGAAAAAATAATCCAAAGTTATTCTCTTCACAGCTGAAATGTTAAATGTTTTAGCCTACATGAATACTGTGTAGTCATTTCTTAATACCAAAAATGAGTAGATTGTTAACAAGTTAACTTTGTTGCAGATTTAAATGTGAAAATGGGTTTCATTTGTGAAGAGTGTTGGGTTTAGCTTCTGAAATAACTCACAAGCTACAATTACAAGAGGAAAATAAAGCTGATGAATGAAATTTCAGATTGATCTTAATAATTTGACTTATATCTTAAGTGGATCATACCGAACGTTTGTATCTTAAACTAGGTTATGTTGAGATAACTATTCTTCATAGAAGAAAACATCAATATCTGATTCAATAAAAGTAACCCAATTCTTAGGAAATGATGACATACATTTTTAGATATTACCTTTCACAAGCAAGTTTATAGAAAAGCTCTCTGTTCCTCGGACATTATACAATAATACAAATTTGTCAGTGTCATTTTTATCTTATAGTCACTAAAATTTCTCTTGTATCTTAAATGATTGAAAGAATACAGCATGGGGCTTCCCTGGTGGCGCAGTGGTTGAGAGTCCGCCTGCTGATGCAGGGGACACGGGTTCGTGCCCCGGTCCGGGAAGATCCCACATGCCGCGGAGCGGCTGGGCCCGTGAGCCGTGGCCGCTGAGCCTGCGCATCCGGAGCCTGTGCTCCACAAGGGGAGAGGCCACAACAGTGAGAGGCCCGCGTACCACAAAAAAAAAAAAAAAAAAAAAAAAAAAAAATACAGCATGCAATTATTCTATGTCGTTCTCTAAACCATTCACTTAACTTACCAGAAATTAGATAAATATCTTGTCCCAAGCTTCAATGTCTGTATTCTGAAAAACACAGTATATAAAAGGAAGAAAAATGATTTTAAAAAAGATAATCATTAATACCCAGAGATAGAATTTCCATAAAATAAGTGGCAAGACACATTCACCAATGTGTGACAATTATGCTTACAGCCCTATACTAGTGTATCACAATTAAAAATTGTACTCACACTACCAATGCTTTTAGTGAGGACACCTCTATACACTGTTTTAGTTCCACACCATAAAGCCCCACGTAAGATATTTTTTAAATTCACAGCTATAGAAACTTTGCTTCTTCGGAGAAAAAGTATGAAGCTAAGATGTGTAACAGACTCTCTCTCTTTTTAGTAATTGCCAGATAAGAAGCTGATGGTCAAACATGATATTCGATGATGCAATTACATCAGCCCTCATGATCATGTTCTCTCCTACATAAGATTTCCTTCTTCCATCCCTATCTTCTCTGCTTCTGATTCTACCCTTAGAGATATTTTATCATTATTCCATACCATATTAACTTAATGAAAATCATCTCAAGTCCTTTGAGGATGAGGCAGTAAATGAAAAAATGAAAGAAAGGGATGGAGGGAGAGGGAGAGACAGATATACAAGAGCAATTACATGTTGTCTTGAAGCCAAGATTATCTTGCTAATAACTAGCACGTTAGCAGGGCAAGAATTGACTTGCTCTTCCAGCGTTAGAGGATTTAGTCCAGTTTCCTTGTCACCAACAGCATTTATCTGTGAGAAACCTGGGCCTGTTATGGTAATAGAAGGTGGACACAGCACACATTAAGCCCACAACCTGTGTTTTATTTACATCACATTTTAATCAATCCATCTAAAGAGGCAAACTGCTAAAATTTACCAGTGTTTGATCATTTAGAGTGCAACATAACAGAACTTACTACTTTTTAAAATGAGAGCTTTCCTCACTAGGATTGCTATATTCAAAAAAAAAACAAAAACGGAAAATAACAAGTGTTGCTGATAATATGGAGAAATTGGAAACTTCGTACATTGCTGGTGGGAATATAAAATGGTGCAGTCACCAGGGAAATCAGTTTGGCCGTCCTCAAAAAGCTAAACATAGAGTTACCATTTGGCCCAGTAATTCTAGTCCTAGGTATACACCCAAGAGAACTGAAAACATATATTCACACAAATATCTGCATACAAGTGTTGACAGCAGCATTATTCATAATAGCCAAAAAATGGACAACCCAAATGCCCATCCACTGATGGATAAAAATATGCTATACCCAGAAAACAGAATATTATTCAGGCACAAAAAGAAATGAAGTGTACTTAGTTCATACTACAATATGCGTGAACCCTGAAAACATTATACTAAGCAAAAAAAAGGCAGATACTGAAGGCCACACCTTGTATGATTCCATTTACATGAAATACCCAGCACAGGCTAGTCCACACAGACAGAAAGGTTAGTGGCTGCCAGAGGCTGGGGGAGGGGGCAATGAGAAGTGACTCCCAATGGAAACAGAGGTGCCTTTTGGGGATAATGAAAATGTTCTGGAATTGGATGGTAGTGATGGTTGTACGACCTTGTGAATATACTAAAAACCAGTGAGTTGCACATTTTTAAATGGTGAATATTATGATGAATTTTACATCTCAATAGAAAGAGCTTTCAAATAGTAATACATAAAATTTATGATAGCCTCTCAAATATGTTAAAAGAAGCTTTTCCCAGGCCTGAAAACCAATCATTTTGGTGATCTGACCCTTACTGCTTAATACAATTGTCCCAATAATCTAGTCTCAGGACTTCCCTGGTGGTCCAGTGGTTAAGACTTCGCCTTCTAAAGCAGGGGGTGCAGGTTCAATCCCTGGTCAGGGAGCTAAGATCCCACATGCCTTGCGGCCAAAACACCGAAACATAAAACAGAAGCAATATTGTTACAAATTCAATAAAGACTTTAAAAATGGTCCACATCAAAAAAAACTTAAAAAAAATAATAGTCTAGTTTCATTTCCAATTTTTAATAGGATTGTAAACTCTTGTGATTTTAAAACCTTCTTTAGTACCTGGCCCCACCCCAATTGGTAAAAGAACTATACGTCTTGTCCATAGTTACGTTCTGATTTATTACACACACTTAACACACGCAGTAGAGGGGATAGGGACAGTGCAAAGGCAGACACCCAGGGACAGAGGCTACGGGGACCCCTCACAAGATCCAGCCGTCTGCTAACAGTGTCCAAGTGCTGCACGCAAGGACCTCCCCCAAACATGATCAACCCAGATTTTGATTTAAAACCTTCCAGAACAGAAAACTCAAAAGGTGCCCTTTCCACCATCAAAACCATTCATCGAAACGCTAAAAAGACCTTCCTTACACTCACTTCACTGGAATTTTCCCCATAGACCTAGTTCTGTACCATTGAAACTCTCCCATTAGACAACCTCTTAAGTTTTAGGACAGCTATCACAAAGCTACAAAATCCTCTTTTCTAGTCAGAATCCTTACTAATCCTTTCATCCACTCCCCGGACCTGGTTGGACCTGGTTTCACCACTCAGGTCACGCCCTGTGACTGACTCTGCTTATCCAATATAGAGCGGAGCAGGTAGAGCAACCCACCTGGGCCTGCGTTTGCCAAGATCTATAAAACTGGGATAACAGTAGAATTTAGATATACTACATTAGATGATGGAGGTGCCATGGAGACAACATCCCGCAGGCAAGGGGGTAAGGACAAGGCTGCTACGTTATACAGCGTGGTCTAGGAAGGCTTCTCTAAAAGGATGTTTGAGCAAAGACCTGAGGACGTGAGGAAGCAAACCGTGTGGGCATTTGGAGAATTCCAGCTGAAAGAACGGTGAGTACAAAGGATGTGCACTTGGAGGGGTCAGCAAAGCAGTCGGGCTGAGGAAGGGGGAGGGGGCGGGGGGCGGCAGTCAGAAGTGGGGAGCGCTGCAGAACTTTGTGGGCCAGCTTTCACCTAAGTGAGATGGAAGAGGCACCAGAAGGGTGGGTTCCAAACGACTGCTGTGTTGAGAATACATTGCACAGGGAGCAAGCAGGAAGTTATGGCAGTCACTGAGATGAGTGATGAAAGTGGCTGGGACAGGTGTGCCGGCGTGCGGGCTATAAGACATGATCAGCTTCTGGATGTATTTTGAGGATAAAGCCAACAGGATATGCTGGTGAATGCATGTAGAACGTGAGCGAGAGAAGTCCGATATGGCCTCATGGCGTCCAGGCAACATGGGTTTGTATCCTGGGAGGCTCTGCCACTTACTGTGTGACCCAGACAAGTTACGTAACATCAGTTTCTCCATCTATAAAATGAGAATAACAACAGTACCTACCTAATGAGGCTGTCGTGAAAAAAGCTCAGAAGAGTGCCTTCCACAGTAAAGGAACTAAACAAGAGTTACTCTCATCACCACCATCGTTAGCTTGCTTGTGAGAGGATGGACTTGCCAGAACAGGTTTAGACACCCCAGGAATTCCTGGCCATCAGGAATTCAGGTCTGAACACGTTAAGATTCTACTGGACATCCACGTGGAGATGGTCAGTAGGCAGCTGGACACAAGCAGAGTTTAGCAGGAAGGTCAGGGCTAAAGAAATATACCCGAGATTCGGTGACATATAGACCAGTATTGAAAATTGTAAAACTAAAGAAGGTCCCTTTAGGGAGTGAATATAAAATAAAAAAGTTTCCAAGACTGAGCCTTGGGGCATTCAACATTTTAGAAGCTGGGAAGCCAATGAGGAACCAGCATTCTCCTTCCAGGCGTGGCATCTTGGGTGTCAAAGTAAGAAAGTGCTTCAGGAAAGGAGTCCTCAGCTGTTTCATGAGGCGGGGAGGTCTAGTAAGATAAAGATCATTGATCCTTGGATTTTACAACACAGAGGCACTGACAAGCCCTGATAAGACCGGTTTTGATAGAGTGGGGATAAAAGTCAGGTGGAGAAAGTTCAAGAAAGGATGGGAGGGAATGCATTGGAAATAGCAAATACGGACAACTCTTCAGAGGATTACTGTTGCAAAAAGGAACAGAAAAACAGGTGGGTATCCAGAAGCGAATGTGGATCAAGTTTGTTGTCTTACGATGAACAAAAATACAGCAGCTTTTAATACCAGTGATGATGTATCAATGAGAGAATGAGAAATGGATGATGCAAGGGAGATTACTGTTGAGGCCTAGGCCAGAGGGGATAGAATACAGTGTATAAGAAAGAAGATGCCCCAAAAAAGACTTACATCACTCGGTTTTTAATTCATTTACTCAATAAATATTTATCAAACAAGTATGTAGTTTGTGCTCGGCACTATTCTAAACACAGGGGATATGTCGCTAAATAGACGGTTATGAGAAAACATATGTAAAAGCACTTAGAATAATATGCCTAGCACATACTAGGCACCTAACCAATGCTGGCTAACTAAATACAGATGGATGTAAACTCTTTTCATCCAAATTTTTGACAAAAATGTGGAGCAAGACAGTGTCCTAAAATCTCTCACTAGAGAACTATCAGAGGAATTTAAATAACAAGATTTTGAACTGATAAAATACTTACTTATGATAAAATGGGAAAATGGCCTTAGAACTCAATGAATACAACCTCTTAATTTTGTGGACAAGTTAAAAATAGAAAGCCAAGTTGACTTACCCAGTTACTAAATTAATTCAGTGAAAAACCAAGAGCCAAAATTAAAACCCAGTCCTCCTACTTCCTACTCTGATTTTCATTATACTTCAAGTCTCTCTCTCTCTCTAACAGAAAGGCTGAAAATATGAAGACTCTGCAATTTCTATCTTCCCTCTGCTTCTGCCTGGCTATTCTCCAATTTACCATAGGCTGTACGTGACTCTCTACCACTTTATTTTAATCCAATAAAAACTATAATTCTTAAAAGATGTTTTGGGGGAGATATAACATTTTAGTTACCAAAATTCTAGGTTATTTCCTAACCGCCCCCCCGCCCCCAAAAATCTCCAGTGAAACAGTCCTATGCATCACGTATTTTCCCATCTGGAATTCACATAACTTGTAAGAAAAGGCTGACAAACTGAAATATCAGCCTGTTGATATTGACGGCAAGGAACATTTACAATAATTAACTTTACAGATGTTTAAAATCAGAATATTTCAGAAACGAATAAAACAGGATTTTTTTGTTTTGTTTTCTACAAAAACTTAAGGAAATAAATCTATTCCTTTTTTTTTTTTTAAACCATTACTGGTACTTAATTTAGCACCATGTATGGTAGCAGATTCATTTCTTACTTTTAGTATGTGAGCCACATTGAGGATGTGCTGAAAATGCCAATTACAAGAAGTACTCACTGAAACGCAAATTAATTTTTCCTTTTTGCGGATTTAATAATGGTTAAACAGGGCTCTTGTACTCAGTTTTAGTGAGTACACTCTACTTCAAACCATCAATAAAAATGAAGTTTAATATTTCAGTTATGATATCTGGCAAACTCAACCATTTTATCTCTAAAGCAATATCTTTTGGATTTCAAGCTTCGAGCCCTAGGTTCTGAGATGAATTACCTTTCAAGGTGGTTTTTGTTGTTGTTGTTGTTGTTGTTTTTTCAATCCTAAAATGTCCTTCGACTCCTAGCTAGAATCTTCCACTCTGTTTCATAATTATTGTCCCCCCCTTATTTTCTTAACTATCCTCATCCCCAAATGTTAACACAACCGTACTGGTGTAACTGTGCAGCAGTCTTATCTTTTTGAGTCACTAACATGAGTAAGGCAGCAGCAAGGATGCGGGAATAAACATTTCATTTGAACATTAACCTTCTACTTCCACTCACCAGTAAATGCGGCCAAAATATTAGGGGCCATTCTAAACGTCTGGATTTTATCTTAGCTCTTACATATTCTAAAGGAATACCAAACCAACTTCAGCATCCATCGCACAAGCCAAGTCCTAAGTGCTCTGACAACCTTCAAGTTCGAACATGCTTCAAGAGGAAACTGCCTGGGCGATCTCAACCAATGCCACGCATCAAACACTGATTGCTTTTTTCAAATCCAGCAGCGCTGCTCCAGTTTTCGACATCCTGGTTTGTGCACATGTATCCTTCGTATATCATCAGCAGCTGGGAGGGCTGAGCCCTGTTTCACAGGCTGCAGACTCCGGAGACCGAAACAGTGCCAGGCGCGTCCAGAGTATGGACCTACCCGGACTATTACCAGCACAGGTGAGAGGTTTGATACCCACTTCGGTCCTTCCAGCAGTCCGAGGAAGCAGGTCCTACGAATCATCCCTATTTACAGATGCTCACAGCGAGGCCCAAGAGGGTTCCGTGGCCCGCCCGGGTCACACAGGTGGAATAAAGGGGCATCGACCAGGACTCCCGCTGAAGTGTGTGGACGCGACCCCCTCCCCACGACCACCTTCGGCTTCACACAGTGGGCTCCATTCGCCTCCCTATCAGAGCGGCCCCGGGAAGCCCAGGGACCTGCAGGGACGGGGGAAGGCACCTCGTCCCGACCCAAGTGGAGGCCGCACCCGCCGAACTGCAGTGTTTGGGGCTCGAGGGGAGATGCGGGCCGAGGTGAATGGGCTCGTTGTGACCCAGGCAGGGCCTTCCCTCCCGGCCACTCTGGGGCCCCAGCCGAAGCCCGAGTCCTGCGGGAGGCCGGGGACTCCGCGCGGCCGCGGCGCCCCGGCCCCCGAGGCTGGCAGGGCGCCGAGGAGCGCGGGGAGGCCCAGGCGGGGACGACGCACCTCGGGCAGCAAGCAGAGGGGGATCGGCTCGCCCTCACCCCGCAGCAGCGGCGAGAGCTCCTCGGTGGCTCACTCGGGGAAGCGGAGGCACTCGAATGGCCGTCCTCCCCGAGAGACCCGGAAGGAAAAGCCAAGCGCCGGCTGCAGCCCGAGCAGCGTTGAGTGTGACACCGCCCGTCGCCCCGTCCCTTCCTGTGTCCCCACCCCCGGAACCACTTCCGTCTGCGGCTTCTCTCGTGCTCCGGGCTGGAGCGCTCCTGGGTCCGTCCCTCCCCGGCAATCGGGCGCGCCTCCTGTCCTGCCCTCGGTCCCCAGCAGCTGAACAGCGGCCGAGAGGCCTTCCCGCGCAGTTTGCCGCGTGGCCGCCTCCTCTGAGGCGCTACGATGTACTGCGAGAAGTGGAGCTCCGTGGCGGAGATGTGTCTCTTCCTTGGAGACCTGCGGGAGGACTCCTGCATCCTCTGCCTCTGCTCCAGGGCGTTTGTGGAGTAAGTCGCACGCGGGCCTCTCTGTTTCCCGACCTGTAGGGTTTGGGGTGGCGATGGATCCCCGGGATCGGGGCCAGAGTGTCCTACCGTCGGGTACAGTGGTGCCTGAGAGAAAGGAAGAACCGTCCTCGGGCTTTACGGCGTGCTCGCCCACGGCCCTGAAGTGATGGAGTAAGTCTGCTCTGCGGGCTGTTAGGAGAGAATGTGGTGGCCCGTGTTTGTCATTTTACACTCGTCAACTGAGGGGACGGCCACAAGCTGCGGGGAAGTGAAATGAAAGCGATCTGGGATGTGATAGCACAGGGCGGAGGTTTGAAGATGACTAACGTTTCTGGTTAACATCTTTTTTTTTAAACCTTAGGGTTTATTAAAGCGCAAATGCACATAAATAGAACTTCTCATTACCCGGGAGAAAAGATTTATCTATAATCACATCAGTTTTTGAGCCGTGCTTATTTCTGGAAAATACTTGTTTCGGCCACAAATTGCCCTGCGTGGCAGACAGTTAGTGGGTAGGAAAGCACTGACTCAAGAATTGGATTTTAGGGATTTTTTAAAATATATATATACATATATTAGGTGTGTGAGTTTCGCCACTTAATCCTCTTTTTTTTTTCATCTCTGAAACGGGTATATCTACCCTAATCCTCTCACTGGCTTATTGTTAGATCCAACTTGTGGAAGTGAATTTTATGTGGTACTTTTAATATAGGTTATTTAGAATTGTAGAATTAAGGCAGAATTTAAGTTGGAAGGAATTTTTACTATTCGCCATGTGTTTTGTGGAGTAATCGGCAAATTAATCCGGAAAAAAGATTAAGCGCTGTATTAAATTTAATGAAAAAATATTGTCGTCTGGGGACTTCCCTGGCCGTCCAGGAGTTAGGACTCTGCGCTTCCACTGCAGGGGGTTCGATCCCCGGTCAGGGCACTAAGATCTCGCAAGACACAGGGCTCAGCCAAAAAAAAAAAAAAGCAACGTACTGTCGTCTCTGTATTCATGCAGGCGTGTGTTCATTCAGCGAATTCTCTTTGTGCGCCGTCATGGTAGGTACTGGTTAGCGCTGGGGTATCTGGCACAGCCCATCCTACATCCTTAGTTTACTTTCTAGCAAAGGTGATCAATATTAAGACAGCAGGTACGTAATTATTTGGCTAATTATAATTGTAAGTACAAGATGGGAGAGAAGTGCCAGGTGCTCTTATAGCAAAAACCCAACCTTTTGCCATGGATCACAGAGATTTCTTAGAGAAAGTAGCGTTTGAAAAGTGGTCCAAAAGATGAGTGAAAATAAACCGGGATATGTTTGAGTGGGCGGAAGCATTCCCATCCAGGCAGAACTCTGTAAAAAACCTCGAGGGAGCAAAAGAAAGCCTGTGAAAGGGAAACAAAATGACTGGGAAAGAAAAATAGAAGATAGGGTTGGTGAGATACGCAGGGTCTAGACATGCAGGACTTTGTAGAGGACAGGTTCAGATTTGCATCTCTGAAGATGCCTCTAGTAGCAGCGATGTGCGGGCCTAGAACGAATCTTGTATACATACCAGCCAAGGCACATCCTTAGTTCTTAGCCTGCAGCCCATTTGAGTCTTGGTGCCGTCTTCATGAAGTCTCCTTCCCAAAAAAGAAAAGGGGAGGGAATATAAGTTATAAAAGGTTGAGAAAAATACCTTACCTGTAGAAAACAATATGCAACTGGATTTCAATTAAAGCCGCTTTATTTAACACACAATTGGGAGTTCCCTGACAGTCCAGTGGTTCGGACTCAGCACTTTCACTGCCGGCGCTGGGTTCAATCCCTGGTCGGGGAACTACGATCGCGCAGCCAAAAACAACAACAACAAAAATAATTCAATTACCATATAAATGACCAGTTACGTTGCATTTAGTCTTTTTGAGCTAAAATGTGCATTCTTTTCATTACAGATAATTTCATACCTTTCTTAAAACTTGGAAGCTCTACTTCACTTAAACTACCTTCTGAGTTCAAAATAGGTAAAGAGAAAAGAATGGCTTGGTCTTTTCCTTTAGATCAGTTAGTGCTCAAATTATAACCCTTTAGAACAAAAAGGTCTTGGAGATACAGTCGTAGAATTGTCACCAGGAGTCATTGGAAAGTCCCTGGGAGCGGGAGACATGCTGGAAGCTCAGAGGCTCGTGAGTATAACCCTGATTTTCTAGGTAGGGAAAAAGTCTGTTTCCAAACTCTAAGAACAATACATCTGATAGTTGACCAACTTCAAATAGATTATTAAACTGAAAGGTCAGTCCCATGTAGCAGAAAACAGAAAGTGAGCTTTAGCATATGTGCCAAATAACTGCTCAGTATTTAAGAGATTATTTTCACACCTCCCCTGAAAGGCAGGAAATAGAACATAATATTGTAACTAATTTTTATTTTCTGAGGACATTACATTAACATACTGTCTTATGAGTTCAATAATTGGAGTAATAATTCTGTCTCATCTACACACTTAATTTTCTATACACTATCTATATGAAGCGGACATATAATTACAGTGTTATAGCGCTGTTAAAAATAACCATTACAGGGCTTCCCTGGTGGCGCAGTGCTTGAGAGTCCGCCTGCCGATGCAGGAGACGCGGGTTCGTGCCCCGTTTCGGGAGGGTCCCACGTGCCGTGGAGCGGCTGGGCCCGTGAGCCATGGCCGCTGAGCCTGCGCGTCCGGAGCCTGTGCTCCGCAAATGGGAGAGGCCACAACAGTGAGAGGCCCGCATAACGCAAGAAAAAAAAAAAAAATAACCATTACAGGGCTTCCCTGGTGGTGCAGTGTTTGGCGGTCCGCCTGCCGAGGCAGGGGACACGGGTTTGTGCCCTGGTCCGGGAAGATCCCACATGCCGCAGAGCGGCTGGGCCCGTGAGCCATGGCCGCTGAGCCTGCGCGTCCGGAGCCTGTGCTCCGCAAATGGGAGAGGCCACAACAGTGAGAGGCCCGCGTACCGCAAAAAAAAAAATAATAATAATAATAATAACCATTACAGGACTTCCCTGGTGGCGCAGTGGTTAAGAATCCGCCTGCCAATGCAGGGGACATGGGTTCGAGCCCTGGTCCGGGAAGATCCCACATGCCGTGGAGCAGCTAACTAAGCCCGTGTGCCACAACTACTGAGCCTGCGCTCTAGAGCCCGTGAGCCACAGCTTCTGAAGCCCGCGCGCCTAGAGCCCGTGCTCCGCAACAAGAGAAGCCACCGCAATGAGAAGCCCACGCGCCGCAACGAAGAGTAGCCCGGTTCCTGTCTGAGCCAGCTACCTCGGAGGTTCCCAAAGAGCGG